GTGAGATTCTGTCTCTAAAAAAAAAAAAATCAGTATCAATGGGTTCTCTTAAAAAGAAAGCAAATATGCTTAAAGTATTAAACCGTTGGCTCTAAATGTCATTTTATGTTATGTAACCATGTGAGGAATTTGCATGGAGGTTCAGGAGGAAAGTTCTAAGGCATTTGATAGGGAAACTTGAGTGCTGGGGGAACTTTGGGCCACCCTGCTTCTTGTGTGGGAGGGTCCTCTCAGAGCTGCTGGGAGTTTTAAGGACTCCAAGCAATGGAAAATTGCTTACTACCCTCAGGAAAGAATGCTAAAGATGTGGTCATATTACCTGGTCATACCTGTGAGGCCCTTTCTCTTCACACAGAAGGACAAATTCTCTTTCAATGGATGAATCACACAGAAATGTTATCATGTTGTGGAATTTGTGTTTTCCAAGGTGAAGTTGTTGATGGGATTTATAAAACAGCTGGGATGAAGCTCATACCTTTGCTTTAATTTCTGCTTAAAATTCTCTTAGAGGGTCTTTGTTGGGGAACTGAGCATTATTCTGTTTATTTCGCATTTGGAAACCTGAGGAACACATATGCCTTATCTTGGATCACCCATAGGTGACCATCTGTGCTAGTTTGCCAGGGATAATCATGGTTTCCTACTGCCCAGTTATGATTATTAATAGTGTCACCTTCCCCTCTCACAAGTTCTCTGGTTTATATTTAAGGATAAGGTCACCCTAACCACCTGACACATGGCTATCAAAACCAAGACTAGAGATCCTAACATTTCCCATTCATCTCATCATCCACTTAAGCAAATGTTTTCCCAGTTGTTAAAAGTCCTTTCTTTCTGACTTACAGGGTGACACACACAGTAGCCTGTCTCTTGGGAACTGTGCTGTGTAACACATCAAACCTAAGGCCTAGTTGAAACATTGTTGTTGACTTGTTTGGATTTCCACTTTATTTTGTTTGGTTAGACTCTGACAGTTATCACTGGAAAAGGACATTTTAAGGACTTCAGCCAGCCTCTATTTCTTCTGTGTCCTGATGCCAAGTCATTTTAAATGATCTCGCTCTAATAGGATTTAAAGGGTAAGAAATTTACAATGTATCAGAGCAGTTCCGCTTATACTTGGTGCTGGCAATAACGTCTCTCTTGAAAACCTCACATAAAGGAAGCTGACTTGCTTTCCACGGCCCTGTAATTAAATAGGCCTGCTAAGAAGTCATATGGGATTGTTTATGATTCTTGTAATTAATTCCCATCATGGTGGATGCCAGTTACGTTGTGTCAGCAATACCAATAATACTCCAGTCCTGTAAATGGTGACTGCAAAATCGCCATTTGTCTTTTTAGCACTCTTTTATCTCATCACTTGTCTTTCTTTTACATGATACTTGTTGCATGGAGTCATAAATTGCAACATATGGAGCCATTAACCAAGCAATAGCCTTGCACCTTTCCCAGTTACCAGAGAGGGAGTTGAAAATGTAGCCTCCTGCTATCATGACTGTTGTTCTCCCTATGACTGGAGGAAAGTCAGATTTCAAGTTCTTCCTGCTCATCTTATGCCTTCTACAGCAAATTTCAAAGTACAGCAGTAGGCAGATTGGATTGTAATAACAATTTTTAAACCCAGAAATTAAATTAAACCCAAAAGAACAACACCTGCTTCTAGTTCGAATATTGTTTCTTCCAGAAAGAACGTCTCCACAGTAACAGCAATGACAATAGAGTATTTTTCATGAAGATGTGAGTTATACAGATCTTGTATAGAAGTTGATACAGAATACAGACACTCACTGTTTTCCAGAGAAATTGACAACCAATGCTAAATTGTTTTTTTTTTTTTTTTTTTTTTTTTTTTTGAGACAGAGCCTCAAGCTGTCCCCCTGGGTAGAGTGCCATGGCATCACACTTACAGCAACCTCCAACTCCTGGGCTCAAGCAAGTCTCCTGCCTCAGCCTCCCAAGTAGCTGGGACTAGAGGCACCCGCCACAACGCCTGGCCATTTTTTTTTTTTTTTTTTTTTTTGGTTGCAGCCATCATTGTTGTTTGGCGGGCCCGGGCTGGGGATTCGAACCCGCCACCTTAGGTGTACGTGGCTGGCACCTTAGCTGATTGAGCTATAGGCGCCGAGCCCCAATGCTAAATTGTTAATGAGATCTCTGTACTTTGAGAAGCCCTGCAGTGGCATTAATACAGCACCTTCACAACTTGTTATCTTAAGAAGGAGGAACACACAGTGTAGCACAGTGGTTACAGGGCCAGCCAAATACACGGAGGCTGGAGGGTTCAAACCCAGCCTGGGGCCAGCTAAACGGCAATGACAACTGCAACAAAAAATAGCCAGGCATTGTGGCGGGTGCCTATAGTCCCAGCTACTTGGGAGGCTGAGGTAAGAGAATTGCTTAAGCACAAGAGTTTGAGGTTGCTGTGAGCTGTCACGCCATGCCACTCTACCTAGGGCAACATAGTGAGACTCCGTCTCAAAAAAAAAAAAAAAAGGGACAAAGGGCAAGTAACTAGTCCAATAGATGCTTTTATCTGTAGAATGGGGAAGTTTGACTATTCCAGAGAACATATTTTACGGTAAATAGATGTCTAGATTTCATGGTCCTTAATGATTTATGTTAATTACCTTCCTCCTAATGCCTCTGTCTTTTGTGTGTGTCACAAAGAGTTTTGCTTCCTGGAATATCCACAGAGGCTGCAGGCTGCTTTGCTGTGGGGGAGGGGAAGAGGCCTAGAGCAGAGAAAGTGACCTGGTAGGAAAACTTCTCGCAATTTTCCTATCAGGGATCAACAGAGCACTGAAGGGCTGTACTTTCCAAATAGCCTCAGGGATGCATAATCTACATCTACAAATGGATCTTTTCTGCCTGGATTGAGCTAGCCAGGAGGGCCCCCAGGCAGGGGCTGGGTGCTGTTTCTGCTAGCCAACTGCCATTGCAGGCCTGCTGTCTGCTCCTTTGGCCTGGGATTTTTGCCTCTGTACTATGTCAAGTGACAGGTAGGAGCTACTAAGCGTGGGCTCTTCCCACACCAAAGCAAGTTGATTGGCGTCAGAGCCCAAGGCTGAGGGACATCTAATTTAGATATAGTTGAGGCTGCCATTCTGATGTTGTGTAATCTCTCTCTCTCTGCCCCCTCTCTTGTCCCCTTTCTAGCATTAATGATTTGAGTACAAACATATAATAGTTTTATGAGAATCAGGATAATCTGGACCTCTATGTCTGTACTTAAGGAAATAGTAAGGTTAAAAACCAAGATCCTCCTGGAGTTCGCCCCAGGCCACCAGCACAAAAACTGTGAGATTTATTCCTCCTTACAGCAAGATCAGTGGGTAATTCTGTTGCAAAGTCATGGACACCATAATTTATCTGCCTTATCTGCCCTGTGAACCCAACTACCTGTATTCAAGCTGCCGGTTTCGTTTCATTTCTTTCTTTCTTGCTTTTTTTGAGACAGACTCTCACTTTGTCACCTTTGATAGAATGCTGTGGTGTCATTGCTCACAGTAACCTCAAACTCTTGGGCTCAAGCGATTCTCTTGCCTCAGCCTCCTAAGTAGCTGGGACTACAGGTGCCTGCCACAATGTCTGGCTATTTTTAGAGACAAGGTCTCGCTCTGGCCCAGGCTGGTCTTGAACCTGTGAACTCAGGCAATCCACCCACTGGGATTACTGGCGTGAGCCACCTCACCTGGCCAGGGTTTTCATTTTCTGAAAGATTCATCACATCTTCGTGGATTTCAAGAAATATCCTATTTGGAGCTGGGCAGGGGGGCTCTCTTCTGCTCTCCTGACATGAGTATAATTCACTCTCTGGAGTGAATATTTTCCTTTTGGTCTATATTCTTTGTCCTTTGTCCTTAATGGCCAAAAATATGTCTCTCAGGCTGCCAAAACACAGGTCACTGGGGGTCATAATCTGGACGAGAGGCCAGCCATTGTTCTGCAAACATTCTTGATCTAAATCCATCTAAAACCTCACCTGAATGGCTTGTAAATTAGGTCAAGGCATGGTCAGCAGGTTAACCAGTGTCTTTTTCTCCCCTCAAGTGCAGGGGCCACAGCAGATTACGAGATCACACTCTTCCTCCTCGAAAGCCCGAGAGCTAATTTTGCTTAGATTATTCTCCCATCTTTCTTTGTGGACTAGTGCCTCCTTTCACTTTCTGGGATGTCTGCCAGTTTTTCAAGGACTGGGTAAAGAACAAAATAAATATTTGTAGGTAGTTTTAAAGGAGAGTAAGTATGTTGGCTGTAACTCTGCCCATCCAGAGGAATGCATTCTAATTGTCTTTCAGATGTTTTAAAAGTCATTAGTTCTAAAGATTCAGAAGGTTGATTTATTAGTTTACTTTTCATGTTTGTGATCAAGAGCTGTGTGTGTTTGTGTGTGTGTGTGGGGGGGTGAACTCGAGCGTGTTGGGCTAAGGGATGGGTCTGGGAAAGTGAAGGCAAGTGAGTAAAAATTCTTTAAAGTCCAGATTAAGTGATTGAAATTGACTGTGTGGAAATTACACTACCTCCTATTAGATGTTAACCAGGCTACAAATTAGTGCTTTCTTAGCAACACAGTATATATACACACATGTAGTGTGTGTATGTGTGTGTGTGTGTGTGTGTATATATATATATTTGTTTGTTTGTTTTTTCCTTTCTAATCCTTTGGGGTTTTTTGGTTTAAGGGATTTCACTGACATTTGGAAGGTTCAGCAGCTCCCTGTTTCTTAATATGTCCTTCAGCCGCTTTGGGAGGTTTGTCCTGTGTCCAAGATTAAAGAGACCAGGCAACCGGTCTCCCAGCAAAGTTCCCGGGGTTGTAATCATGTGTGAAATGTTTTCTCTCCCGGGCCACAGAGCCTTGGTGGCTTACGGCTGTGGAGCCGGACAGGCGGAGTGGCTGGCGAGGAGGCGAGGCCATCGTCACCTGTTGGGGCCTCCCTCTGGGGCGGAGCGCAACCCCCAGCCCTTGGGGACTGGGCTGGCTCGGGCGGACTAGGGGACAGACCGAGGGACTGAGGGCAGGGGGCGGGGGGGACGGCGAGGCCCGGCGCTGGAATGCAGTTTTCTCGGGAGAGGGAGACTTTGCACCGGAGTGGAAACTAGTTTGGGGTGGGGTTTCTCACCGTCCCCTCCTCCCCAGCCCCGGGACCCCTCCCAGGCACTTTCTGGGAGCTTTTAGGACTGAGCTCTCAACTTCCCAGGGAGCTGGGAGCTCGCGCCGCAGGCAGAGACAATGGAAGAAAATGAAAGCCAGAAACAGGAGCCGAGCCTTCCTCGCTCCGCGGACTGCAGACAGTTGCAGGGTAAGTAATAGAGTCATTCAAAGATGGAGTTACAGGGACGCGTGTCCCTTGCCGCCTGCTGCTTTTTATAAAACTGCAGCCCCGGCGCCTGGCAAGGGAACAGCCTATTTCTCAGCGTCCCAAACTAAGTCCAGAGATGTGATTTCTTGGGCTTGACTTTCATCTCTGGCGCGGTTTTCTTAAGCAGCAAACGAGGTGGCGGGGCGATGTCACATTAGTAGCACAATGAGCAGTCAGTATGTGTCGTATCTCTAGGCAATGACAAATAAATCACTGAACAGCTCTTTAATCACACCCCCGACCCCACCCTCCCCCGCCCCAGCTCCAGCCATGGCAGAGACGAGCCGTTTTTGTGCAACTATCCGCGGGACGGCAGCTTCCATTCATTGGTTGAAGGATTCCTGGAAGCACATGCATGTTGGATGAAAAAATTTGTAGTATTTTAGAGTTAAATCATAGAGTTTAGGGATGTTTTATTTTGCAGATCAGAACAGCAGGGTAATACTTGTACATCTGGATGATAGGTAAAACTCCCGAATCTTCTTTTATGTTTTAATTCAGAAGTTGGGAGCTGTTAGACAATTTTGGCAAGTTTTCTCCTGGCGGTTTCCCTTTAGTTGTGTTTATAATAGACTTGTCTTTTCCCTTAGGGAATTTCCAGAAGCTTGTGTTATTCCAAAGAAATTTCCCAGTGGGGCTGGGTGGCCAGAGGGCTTCTCTGCTCTCCTGTGTAATGCCAGAGCTCTTCCCATAGCAGCCTACGGGCAGCGTGTACCAAAAGGGCACAGTCCTGAACCGCCCCATCCCACCCTTCTTCCCCAAGTTCATCCAGGGGCCAGTTAGTAACAAAAAGATGTGCAGGAGTGCAGTGCTGTGCGTAGGAGCAGGGATTATGCACAAGGGAAAAGGTGTGTGTTTTTTTAAAATGTGAAAGGGAAGTCGTACATGACTCATCCTACAAATGCAAAACTAAGCCAGACAGAAGAAAATACAATTACAAGAGACAGAAATCCCCCATGAAGTACAGAAAACCATAGGCTTACTAAAGTCCCAGTGGATCCCTGAGTCTTATAGTCATTGGTCTAGGTGTCTGTGGTTGTGTTTCCAAACAGAGCTGTCTCCTGGAAGGCACCAGGGTTGGTGGGAGATAAGCACCCCTCCCCTCTTCCTGCTGATCCTCATTTGATAGGACAGGAACCTTACAACAGGAATTCAACCTCTGAGCCTGTAATGAAAGAAATGACCCAGCTTCTAGAGAGGCAGTTAGAATGGGATCAGTTTAAGAAGTAATTTTCGGACAACCACAGCAATTCATAGATGCTTTGGAGGCTAGGATGGTCCAGGCTGAGACAGTGTGCTCACGCTCTCCATCCACTCATTCAGTGAATATAGAGTATCTATTATGTGGATTAGCAGGGGACAAAGCAGACTAAAAATACTTACCTTCATTGAACTTCTATTCTTTTTCTTTTTTTTGAGACAGAGTCTCAATATGTTGCCCTTGGTAGAGTGCCATGGCCTCACAGCTCACGACAACCTCAAACTCTTGGGCTTAAGCGATTCTCTTGCCTCAGCCTCCCAAGTAGCTGGGACTACAGGTGCCCACCACAACGCCTAGCTATTTTTTGTTTGCAGTTGTCATTGTTGTTTAGCAGGTCCAGGCCAGGTTTGAACCTGCCAGCCTGGGTGTATGTGGCCGGTGCCATACTCACTGAGTTATGGGCACCACCTGAACTTCTCTTCTGAAGGCCAAGTTTGGGGGGGAGCACTGGGGATGATTGAGGCAGACAATGAACAAATAGGTAAAACATATAGCCTGGCAAGGTTGTCAGACTTAGCAAATAAAAATACAGGCTACCCCCCACTGAATTTGAATTTCAGATAAATAATGGATTTTTTTTAGCCTAAGTATAGCCCAAATATTGTATGGGATATACTTACACTAAAATCTTATTCACCATTTACCTGAAACTCAAATTTAATCGGGCACTCTCATTTAATCTGTTTGATGGAATTAAGTTGATGGGGAAAGTAAGACAGGGAAAAGGAATAGGAAATGTGGGGTAGGGGGTAGGAAGTGGAGGTATAAACAGGATTATGGAGAGAACTTCCCTGAGGTGATATTTGAGCAGAGACAAGGGAGAGAACAATAAGGATCTGACTGTACAAGGAACATGCAGGAATGTGGGAGGAAAAGAGTCTTAGAGGTAATCACAGGCCAGATCACATAGGGCCTATGACACCATAGTGACAACTTAGACTTTTATTTTGAGGTGGGGAGCCACTGAGAAGTGTGACTTAACTTTTCAAAGGGCAGTACTAGGTACTGTGGCTCAAGGCTGTAGTCCCAGTACTTTGAGAGGCCAAGTTGGGAAGATTACTTAAAGCCAGAGGTTCAAGACCAGCCTGAGCAACATAGCAAGACCTGTTCTGAGCATTATCAGAAGTTAAGACAGCCAGAATAAAAAACATTAACAGGACATGGTGACATGTGTGTAGTCTCAGCTAGTTGGGAGGCTGAGGCAGGAGGATTGCTTGAGCCCAGGAGTTTGAGGCTACAGTGAGCTATGATCACACCACTGCAAAACAAAGCAAGACTCTAGCTTTTAAAAATAATGATAGGGTGGCGCCTATAGCTCAAAGGAGTAGGGCACCAGTCCCATATGCCGGAGGTGGCAGGTTCAAACCCAGCCCCAGCCAAAAAAAAAAGAAAAAAAAAAAAAACCCCAAACTGCAAAATAAAATAGTAATAAAGGGTGATGATGGGTGCTGTTGGTATAACCCAAATATGAGTGGGGAAAGGCAGAAAGGCTGTTAGCAGGCTTCTAACAAGAATCAGTGCTAGCTTGGACTAGGTGGTGATAAGCATGTGGTGATAAGAAGGCAGATTTTAGATGTATATTAAAGGTAAAGCCAAAAGAATTTGCTAAGGGATTGGATGTGGGATGCAAGAAGGAAAAAAAAGAGTCAGAGATGACTTCCAAAATTTTGGTGTGAGCAGCTGGAAGGATGGATTTGCCATTTATCTAAGTGGGGAAGTGTTTAAAAGGAATAGATGAGAGGGTGTTTATGGTGTGGGGGTGGCAAGAGCAGACAATCTTCTAGAGAGGTGAAAATCGAGATGTTTATCAGGCATCCGAGTGGAGATGTTGCTAGCAATTTGGATAGTCGTGACTGGAGTTGAGGAGAGAGGGAACTCTGAGAAGTCCCTTAGGACTGAGTCTGTGTGCAGAAAGGAAAAATCCAAAAGATGCCCTCTTAGGGCACTCCAGCATTTAAAGTTCAGGGAGATTGGAAGAGCCGGCTGGAAAAATTGCAAACGTAGGGTGCGAATCCACGTTAGGCTTTTAAGATCCTGTTCAGTTCTAGGCAAATATGATACTGAAAAGTTCAGCTTCAGCATGAGGACCACAAGAGTTGGTATCTCCGGTGCTAACATCATCAGTAGCATCCATTTCTGTCACATTCTCCTGCATTTGTCTGTGTGTCTGTGTTACCCAATTACAAGGTGATATTCCAGGCCAGGGACCATATCTTATTCCCCTTTGCCTTCCCAGCATGTACCAGAGCACTAGGCATACGGAAGGCACTCCATAAATATTGGTTGAATGAAAGGCTAATTTATAACACCCCAAGACTTTGAATTTATCATTTTACCATAGATAAAGATCTCTTGGATCAGGTAACTTATGGTCAAATGAGACGCTATTGAGAGTGAAAAGGAAGACTATAAATAATTTTGCTGGGACAACAGTTGTCACCCAGAGCTAGCTCATCAAACCGGGGCATATGGTCTCCCCAGGAATAGCTTTAATCAATGAGGTTTCCATAGCTGAATAGCCAGGTGACTGGGTCAGTTACAACGTGGAAATGGGCTGGAAAGTACCTTTAGCAGAGCAGGCCTTTAATAATTATGGGTGCAATTTGAATCTAGCTATTTTATGGTCCTTTTGGAGGCCACAGGCTCCTCGGTGTGGTCCTGAGGGGTGAGAATTCCCTGGGGTGGCTCTATCTGCCATAGCAGCCCAGACGTGTCTGCCTTTGCTCTGGCCCCCGAGATCTGGAAACCTCCATGCAGGTGAAGTGTTGTCAGTCCTTTCAGACCCTTTGATAAATACCCTCTAATGGAGTGCAAGCCTGGGAATCACAGAAATGGAAATTTTGGCTCAGAAGTCTTCTTTAAAATAGCCCTGATCAGTCTCTGTACCCTTATTCTGCTGTATTCTTCAAAGTGCTTGCCACTATGTGATACATATATTATTTGTTTATTGTCAGCCTCCTGAATTATGATGTAGACTCTTCAGTGGGGAAAGGGAATTAAGTGTATCTTGGTCTACTTCACTACTCTGTCTCTTAACGTCTTTTTCCATAAATGGAGCTGTCATTCTATAGTTGTATGTGTGAATGAATGAATCAATCAATCAACCAATTAGTTAATACTTGAAACAAGAATGCTTTTATGGGTAGGGGAAGGGCTATTTTGCTTAAGGTCTTCATCATTGACTTAAAATTTTTAGGTTCTCTAGAAGAATATAATGACCCAGTTTCAGCTGTAATTTCTGTCTCTGTTTGTATTTGGTAGTGAGCCTTAATGATATTAATGAGAGAGCTGGAAAACTGAGGGACCCTGGGGGACCCTAGGGAGTTGCCAACAGGATATGTGTATTGGTCAGATAGGCTAATTGTTATAAGCCCCCTGCCCCCCCCACCTTGGTGGCTTTGCATGATCAAGGTTAACTTTTCAGTCACACACAACAGAATGTGATGCTCCTAGCCAGGTGGATTTTCTGGGTGGCCACTGAGGCCCCTGCCCCCATGCAATCTTTATGGGATCCCCATGGATTTGGAAGGTTCCCTTGGATCCTTTGCATTCGATTGGCCGAAAAAGTAAAAAGAGAGAGAGTACAAAAAGATTATTCAGGAGGTCCAAGGGCCAGGACTAAAGGTGGCCCACACGACTGCTGTATACTTATCTGGTACCAGGATTAGTACAAGGAAGA